AGTTTGACACCTGTGATGTATGCGGACTCGAGAAGTGGTTTACGTGTCGGCATGATCCATGAACGGACAAGTAAAATCCGTTACAAGATATCAAAAAAGCTTTTGCATTTGAAGCTCTGTCAGCCCAGTGTGCAGTTCACATGTTCTCCCCACTCCTGTGTGAGTTTTCTCTGTGTCCACCGGCTTCCTTCCGCATTCCAGAAATATCGACGTTAAGTTAAATGAACACTATAAATTGTCCATTTGCGTGAACGATGACTTGTTACCAGTGCAGCGTGTACACCGCCTCTCACCTAAAGTCAGCTGAAATGGTCTCCAGCTCACCCGTAAACTGAATTAGTACTAGCGCTATAGAAAATGCCTGGAGAATGAATAAACTACAATAACTTTGTTCTTTCAACTTTCGCTCGCCCCCACAGGTGGCACTCCCGACATTCATCCTAGAGAAGCGCTCTCTGCTCGAGATGTATGCCAATTTCATGGCTCACCCTGACATGTTCCTCTCAATCACCACCGGAACTACGTCAGAGGAGCGCATCATCCGCTTTGTTGAGTACTATCTCACCGCCTTCCATGAGGGCCGAAAGGGCGCGGTGGCCAAAAAGCCCTACAACCCCATCCTGGGTGAGACTTTCCACTGTACTTGGTGTGTGCCTCGGGAGTGTGTTCGATCCCTCAGAGCCACCAACTCCATGGCTCCCAAATCAGCGGCTGCCTTCACATCTCCGACTTCAAACTCCTCAGAGAGTTGCAGTGGGTTCAAATCCGACTGTTACCAGGTTCGCTTTGTGGCAGAGCAGGTGTCTCACCACCCGCCTGTATCAGGCTTTTACTACGAGTGCAAGGAGAAGAGGATGTGTGTTAATACTCATGTATGGACCAAGAGCAAGTTCTTGGGCATGTCTGTTGGAGTCTCAATGGTTGGAGAAGGTAAGAGAAGAAACAACTCCTTTAAAATCTACTACATGATGACGTGAGGGTTTCCAGAAAGAAGTACAGTACCTGTGATGTTTTGTCAACCTTATTTCAAGATGTGCAGCGCAGTGCAAAAGGTTTCACAAATCGTATGTCTGAGTGCAGAGTTATATGGGTTATGTCAATGGTGTCCAAACTACGGCCCAGGGGCCATTGGCAGCCCGCCATCCATTTTTTCGTGGGCCGCAAGATCACTTTAAAGCAACCACCGCTGTATACAAAGTGCTGTACATGGAGCAATTATCATGTATACAACATTAAACAATAAAACAATACATTAATAACAAAGATGGTATAAAGCACAAAAGCAGGAAAGCTAAAAATGTGTGTGCGTGTGTGTGTGTGTGTGTGTGTGTGTGTGTGTGTGTGCGTGTGTGTGTGTGTGTGTGTGTGTGCGTGTGTGTGTCTTGGGGAAACAGATGTGAATACATTTGACCTGGACATAAGACAGCTGGCCATTATATAAGCGTCAGGGAGGAAGGGGGAGCAAAGCATGATGGGTGCTCAGTAGGGATATGTGGCAGACAGTTTTCAAATAACAATATCTTGTAATTGAGGTCAAGCTAAACTGCCCCGGACCGTCTTAAATGCTTGTTTCTTTCACTGAAGGATTGCGTTTTAAAATTGAAGTATGAAGTGTACAAGTCATGTGTCCTTGTCTCTGTATCATCGAAAGGAAAAATCGATGAGTCATCAGCATGTCTCTGCCCTGTTGTTCCCAGGTGTACTGCATCTGTTAGAGCACAATGAAGACTATGTGTTCACGCTTCCTTGTGCCTACGCCCGCTCCATTCTGGCCGTGCCTTGGGTGGAGCTGGGGGGAAAGGTTACAATCAGTTGTGCCAAAACTGGATACTCAGCTACAGTCACGTTCCACACCAAACCTTTCTACGGAGGGAAAGTTCACAGGTACACAATTTTGTATGACCCTTTTACGATGCTTTAATACACTATACCATGCTATGGCGTTCTCCTGCTAATAACCAAGGGGTGGGGACTGAGTCCCGGCACGAATAGCAACATTCCATGAGTAATTGGCACCCACCCAAAAAGTGTGGGTGTCTTTGTTCCTGAAAGGCAAGGCAATGATTCTCACTTCAACATTTTTCCTTGTCTCCATGATGCCACAAGACTGTAACAAAGCAATATATTTATAGAGCTTCGACGTTCATCCGGTCTACTTATTGGTTAAATTTAAGGTTTTCTTTTTTTCCCAGACTTTATATTCAACATGGCTTTGGCCTGAGCACAAAAATAGCAAATATGTGAATTTGTATGTGAATAACAAAGGATAGGTTACCTAAAAAAAAAAAAAAAAAAAAAAGGCGCTGTCCACTGTATACTATAAGCATTAAACAAAGAGTATTTTGGGTGTCCTAACAATGTATTTGTCAGCAAACAGTGGTTGAAAGGAATACTACCATGTTCACTCTTAGCAGTTATAGCTATAGATGATATAGCAATAAAGTGGAACCCGTGTAAGCACTGTTGCCGTGAAAACTTCCCACTTGAAATCTTGTCCTCGCTTAAACAAATCTGTCTTTTACAGAGTAACCGCTGAAGTTAAACACAACCAGACAGGAAACATAGTGTGCAAAGTCCAAGGCGAATGGAATGGTGTGCTGGAGTTTACCTACAGTAATGGAGAAAGCAAGGTGATTGATACCTCCAAGCTGCCTGTCATCAAAAAGAAGATCAGGCCAATAGAGAAGCAGGAACAGAATGAGTCACGGTGAGTTAGTCAGATGCATAATTAAACGAATACAAACATTTGGTGATTATTCACTTCTGATGCAAAGTGAACCATGCATCTATCTATCCATCCATTTTCTAATCCACTTACCCTCACGAGGGTCGCGGGGCGTGCTGGAGCCTCTCCCAGCAGTCTTCAGGCAGTAGGCGGGGACACCCTGAACCGGTTGCCAGTCAATCGCAGGGCACACATAGATGAACAACCAATGCTGCTCACACTCACACCCAAGAACAATTTAGAGTGTTCAATTAACCTACAGTGCATGTTTTTTACAATGTGAGAGGAAACCTGAATCACGTTTCGTACCCAAACACAACATTCTTGTTGTTAAAGTTCATATGATACAACGTGCCATATTTGGTTGGCTGTTTCATATGTGATGATGGGACGCAATTCAGCTTCCATTCAAATTTAAAATCGCCTCAAAATGAGTTGCCAAAAGTCGGCCACTTAAGAAAGCTAGTCGCATAACCATGCACGACAAAGTTGCATTCAGTCGCGTCTCTCAGTGTGCGTCGGCGAGCGCATACGTTCACAGAAGTTGAAGCTCGTGATCTCCTCTTTCCACTTTAATGTTGATAATGATTCAGAATTCTGTGTTTTTTTCATGTGGGTATTCAATGATCATTCTAATTTTCTTTGATTGACATCAACATTTCTAGAGGCACACTTTTTTTCACTGAGGTTTGAGATGTACGTTTTAAGTGTTCGTTTGAGGGGAAAAAAAGGCAATGGAATATTTGAAGATGTGCTGGGCTTTTCAGGGGTGTAAATAACACCCTCACTTGTTTTTTGTGTGACGTGTCCAGGCGCCTTTGGCAGCATGTAACAGCATCTCTGAGGGCAGGAAGAATGGATGACGCTGCAGAACACAAACATCGACTTGAGGATAGGCAACGCATCGAGAGCAAACAGAGATCTGCCACCAAAACTCCTTGGAAGCCCAAGCATTTTATCAAAGAGGTGAGGAATGTTATAAACAATCATATCCAGTGAATTCTTCCCAATTAAAGCAAACTGAAATGGCTCTTCATGGCAAAATTCCAATACAGGTAATTTTATAACCCCATAACCAAATCTATCTCAACAGTATTTTTCCCTTCCTGTTGAAATTATTCCATTTATGAAGTCACATACAATTGCTTTACAGGTACTGTATATGAGAGTGCTGTTATATGTGAATCTTAATCATATAAGAATTGGCAGTAGCACATAAAGCATATTCACCTTTGAAATGGAAGATTGAAATGACATTTCACTTGGTATTGCAAACACAGAAAACATTGTTTGTCATTCATGATTGGAATTGGAACAGCACAAACGGATGTTTCCTCCAATACTTTAGCCATGAAGTTGTTTGTAAAGATCTCGACGGACATATCAACTCTAATGAAAACAAAGAGTATTTCATTTTTTTGGTGTGTATACAGGGTGACGGTTGGGTGTACCACAACCCACTGTGGAAAGTTCATTGACCAGAAGCCATGGAAGCAATTCTACGTCCCGGGAAACAAGTGGAATAATCGAAGCAGTGCAACCCACCATCAACCACAAAGAGAAATAGGACACCAAAGGCTTTCAGAATAACTTAGAATCATTTAATTGAGTCTTTCACACTGTTGAGATGACTGTTTTCGGAGGATCAGTGTCAATCAGTGAAAAGAGACCACGTGAGAGACCTTCAGTCTTTCTTGTTCAAAATAACACAGGTGCATTTAACTCACGATATAATGTGGTGTCCACAGCACTGCATATTGTATATGAGAATTTTTTTATGGTTTCATGTCGAAGTGCTTGTAATTAAGAAGTAATCCACACTGCTCTTTTGATTCCACTCAATTTATCCTCTGGTGGATTTAATTAAAAGTTTCTTCTGATGAAACCCTGATGCACATTTTTATAAAGGTTGGTTGAAGTAGGGCGGCCCGGTGGTCCAGTGGTTAGCGCATCGACCTCAAACTGCAGAGGTACCGAGTTCAATTACAGCTCGGGCTTCCCTGTGTGGAGTTTGCATGTTCTCCCCTTGCCTGCGTGGGTTTTCTCCGGGTACTCCGGTTTCCTCCCACATTCCAAAAACATGCATGTCAGGCTGATTGAACACTGAAAAATTTCCCTAGGTGTGATTGTGAGCGCGGATGGTTGTTCATCTCTGTGTGCCCTGCGATTGGCTGTGGCATCCGGTTCAGGGTGTCCCCTGCCTACTGCCCGAAGACAGCCGGGATAGGCTCCAGCACGCCCCGTGACCCTAGTGAGGATAAAGCGGTTCAGAAAA